GTAGGTTGTTGGTAGGCTGTCAATAGGTTGTTGGTGCGCTGTCAATAGGTTGTTGGTAGTCTGGTGGTTGGTATACCTTTGCCTTTTGTTCCATGTGTYAAGATAGCWGACACACCAAATGGGCTGATCTGTAAATGTGACTGTAACCATGACTGGAAATGGCGAAATGAGAAGCTCCTAGAAATCTAAAACATTTAAATTAAACAAACATTGTAATTTCAAGCTGCCTATAATAATTGATATTTGACATCATTCAACTTCAGATATAATATAATTAGAATGAGTTTGAAAATTAAGCTCAACTTATTGCAATATTACAGTTTTGAAACTAATTGCAATAATTTTCTTACTTTGGAATAACCACTTTTGTTTGATTCTGGCTGTAGTCTTGCTAACTCTTCAAGGGGTTGAACTTTCCTTAAAACACAATTCATTAYAATCAATTTGATAAATGAAGAATAAACTGAGAAATGAAAAAAAGAAGAAAAAAAAAGACTTTTGGCGTACTTTCCATCCATTGTTCCATTGAACAAAAACCCAAGAGCATCTACAGCTTCTAACGTTAAACATGATTCACTGGAGGAAGTTCCACTTAAATTAGATTCTGAAATAAGTTAATAATTCTAGGGTTAGATTTGGGGGGTATGATTTTCTTCAAGGAGGCACAACRAGAGGGAGGAGAAGGGTCAGGCTCACAGAGGTGGWCCCAGATRAGGAGGTATGAGGGTTGAGGTAAAAGGTAAACAGAATATGTCTTGAATATAAGATCTTCACCTGGTTCCATTAAAAGCTCTAGTATTTCATTGAGATGATGAAGAACAAACATCATGTGGTCGTGTTCATCTAGACTCTAAAAAACAACACAGTCAGATAAATATTTATTTATCCATTCAAAGGTCTTCTTCGAGAATTTTGAAAGAACATTGTATTTTAAATTTTACAATCAAATATGGTCTTTGTATCTTTATGAAAAATGGAAATTATTTGACGACCAACATTAAAATTGGATAGACTATGGGGTAAGTATAGAATCGAGCTCTTATTTCATTGAGGTCCTAACTCATCAATTGTTTTGGTAACCTCTGTTGAAGACATCTTAATGTAATTATTGGAACACCAATGTCTGCACAACTGAGYAAAGTTTTTTTTTGAAATCTCTTTCATGATGTAATCCTGTTGAAGTAAAGTTATTGATCAAGGTAGACAATCAGAGTATTATTTTACCTTTGTTGCAAAGGATCCTTTATGATCTAGTTCAGGTGATCTTGARTGTGTTGGCCATCTTATAAAATATTTGTTTAAGAAAATCAATAACATACAAAAAAAAGTCAATGTCAAAACAAAGTCATGACTGTGCTTGATTGAGACCCTTAATAATGAACTTGTCTTATTGTAAAACCTCTTCTTGCTTGTGTCTTGACTGCACTATTGCCTTTAATCTTTAAAACATAAGTACATGATATAACCTGGCTTGGACTCATAAGGAAAACCGTAATAAGATATGCAATGATTAAATTTGTCTGCAAAGGATACTCCTCTCCTCCTGATACCAGGGAAGCTTTGAATGATATTTTATGAATTTGTTGGATAAATAAGAATAATATAAACTGTAAAGTATTCACTGACATCAGTCCTTTCAGATGCTCTAAAAATGAAACAAAAAATAAAAAATAAAAGATGCATTATAAATAGAGTGCAAGTCACATAAGCATGAAACAATTCTTAACTATGTAGTGCTAAATAAGATTTAGTTATCAACTAACTAAGAATTGAGAACAATGCTACAAAGAAATTTAAATAATTGGCATTGTGTTTATGCTTTGTTGAATTCTTAGTTAGTTTATAACTAAATCTTATTTAGCAACACATATTAAGAATTGTTTCATGCTTATGTGACGTGCACTCTATAACCATTTTGACAATGATACATTTGGTATTACCTAATAAAACCTACTCATATTTCATAATTAAATATGCTCCTGATTTGAACAACAACAGTACTTTGAAAATATAATTATAAATTTGCATGATGTTTGGATCGAACCTGTTTCTTCAGTTGTTTTACAATGAGGATACTGCCTTRTCCAACTGTTGGAATCTTTAAAACTTGTTTCACACAGCATATCAAATGTTTCAAAGTACCTAAAAGACAGATTAAAAAAAAATAAGAAACGTTTTTTAGTAGAAATGATTTTGCACCACAAAAACCATTAGTAGACTCAATCTAAGTCTTCTGATATATGATAGAGAAATACAGGTAAATACTTGACACTGATAATTCAAATGATATATCCATGGTTTGCCAGTGCATTGCCAGACACAGCCTGCCTACCAGATCATTGCTATACTGGTCGTTAGGTTACTGAAGTACAATTGGGTCAGCCCCCTGAGCCTTGCAGGGCAGCACTTATTTGCTGCTTGCTTGCATGATAATCCCAGATCAACGTATCTGCTTAATTTGCTGCTCCCAACCACTATTCCCTAGTACTAAGTATATCTAAGTATAATTCCCACTGGCAGGGGTCAGTGTGATGGTCGCCAGGTAATGACTGTGGATGGTGGTTACCATGGTTACTGCCTTATTACGAGGGATAGGCATCCTAATAGCACAACACGCTCACCCAAACATCATTAATGCTGATGAACAAAAGCTATTCACAACATTCAAAAAGGAACAATATGTCACGGTCGCCTACCAGCGCACTGAGGACGAAGTACTTATAAACAAGGTCTCAAAGACCAGCCTCCGTATAGTAAACTTCTATAGTGTTTTGCAAGAGTGTTTAATTTCGTGGTGTTTTTAGATGCAAGGTGTTGGAGGTCTCGTTTCCATGATTTGTCACTAGTCCCCTGATATTGACAGTTGTGAACTACCACCATTTTTGAAAGTTGTGTATGGGTTTTTACACATTCATGACACACAAAATCACTTGTCATGTTTTTCATCAATGATGAATGCTCTAATTTTATCAGTGTAAGGCCTGGATGTAAAGGCTTAASTCTATACTACTTAACAAACCAGACCTGGAGTAACCATGCAACCCTCCCCTATGAGAAATGTATGTAACTTACATCCATGCCTGTTCAGCAGACATCCCAAGCTTATAACAAGCAACATGCTTCCACAAGGAATAACTATAAACAAGCAATAACAAATAGTTTGTCATGGGGATGATAAAGGGTGAAGAGCTCAGATTTGTGCAATTTTGAAACAGTTTTGCAAATTATTTTCAAAACTGAAATTGCAAATTACAAAATTCACTCACTTCATAAAAAATGAACAACCTCCTAGTCGCCAAGCAGACTGTGAGGACACTATACAATGTCATGTAAACTTACCTGATCTTAGGATAGCCAGCTTTTCCTCTACTTCTTGAGTAAATACATAATTTGTGCAAGTTCTGATAAATTAACATGATTTTCATAAATCTGTATGTAATCATAAACTTAAGTATTAGCATGAAGGCTTTCTTTTCAATGTTTTGACGGAACTCTTACATGTACATGCTACCAAAACATTTTTGCTTGAATATAAGGTTATTACATTGTGAAAGCTGCTATCAAACACAACCCATTAGTAAAAGGCATGAATGAAAGTAAACATTCTTAGACACATAGCTAARGAAGCAAGGGATGTAGCTCAAAAAGCTTTAAGGAATTATAAAATCCATAGTGTAGTCAGAGAGACTAATTCTTATAAACAATTCTTTAGCATACTTAAGCTTACATGTAAAGTTAATTTGGACGGTAATGGGGTGTGGATTGCACCATAGTCGAACGGTTCTGAGCGAACCCACAATGTTAGATACGCAGCATCCATTTAAACAGCAAATGTCAACTACCAAAGTTCGCCATTTCTGTTGTCTCGAAGCCCGCCATATTTACTTCTTGGTGACGCTGAGGCTTGTGGGTAAAATGAAATCTTAYTGGGCTTCCTGTGCAATTTAGCTTGTATTGCTTGTTTATYGARCACTTGTTTATCGTTGAACTGTTTTCATGATGTTGATGAACGAAGCTTTCAGGTCAATTGATTTGGAAAATGCATCATTTGAAGAGGTCATTGATGACCTTTATAATGTTTCAGGAGTGCAAAGCAAGAAATACAAGGACACTCGCACGGCCCCCGGGGAGTACTCCCCCGCAACTTGGGTGGGGGTGTGCCGCTGGTACCTCAAAACCCTGATCCTGTTCCAAAGTAAAATCGCTGAAAACGATAGCCTGTTCCAGAGTAAAAACCAGCACTAGCTTGCGTGTAGACCGAATTTTTACCCCGTGAATTTTTACCCAGCATAAATAATTCCGGAATTAAACCCTGACCCTGTTCCAGAGTAAAATCGCTAAAAACGATMSCCWGTTCCAGAGTAAAATYRCTGAAAACGATACCCTGGTTGGCGGCACGTCCCCGTATAGCGAATATAGGGGAGTACCCCCACTCCCCCCCTCCCCCCACCCGGGACTCGCACACTGTAGCATTTAGAAAAACAAGATGTCAAACATTGAATTACAACATTCACTTTCTGATCACTTTCTTTTGCTAATCCCTAAATTGTGGTAATGAACAGAAACAGTGAACGAAATTGATTAATTATATCTCATGGAATCAATAAACCAAGACCATTTAATTTTTTTATTATCATTTATTTTTGTAAGAGTTCCCACATATGGTGGAGATCGGTGGAGACCTCTTCACAAGAAAGTAAGTGACGATAGTAGAGCGTAAACTTAACCCTGACGTCAATATCAGACATGGTCAAACACATTTGAAATGTTTGTAAACAAGAACAAAAACCATATAATTATTGTTTCGTTATTCWGTCTGTACAAAGAATTATAGCATTACTCGGATCCTTGTTCATCGCTTGATAAAGAAGACACTGAAGACCTTTGTCTGATATTATGATAGGGTACCATACGGTGCATGCGCAATGCATCATGGTAAGTCCGCTGTCCATATGGTGGGCTCGTGGGTGAGTTGGGTGATACAGGCGAATGTAARCCAACCGGAGATACAACRGGCGCAATCATTGATGGGTAATTACAGGATGACGCAGTTCCCACAGGAATCCCGCGGCTCATATGGTTTAAAGCTGCTGCTCTACTTTCATAAGCACCTAGAATTAAAGACAATATCAAAATGATATATAAAAGATTGCTAAGGTTTGAATGTTTGAATTTCGTAATATTTTAAAACTAGTGCGTTATGAGGCATTGGATGGAAATCAGCAAACGACAGCAAAGCTAATAGGCCGTTTGCATTATGACGTAACTTTACTACAAATACCAGAGAGCCTTGCGCATTTTCATTGTTATTCAGATTTTTAATCCCCTTGGAGATTAATAAAACAATTGGCACTAATTGCATTACAAAAGAAAGTTGGCAAAGCATTCTGGTAGTTGTAGTAAATGACGCCATAATGCATCATATCGCCTATTGGCATCAGTATCGCATGCACGTTCCGATCGTTCAAAATGCGCAAAACGTACATCAGTATTCTTCCATGCACATTGTGTAAAGTGCACGGTYTCCTCAGGGATGACCCTCCTGGACGGTTTGGTTCCTGATGCCGCAGCTTGGGAGTGCACAATGTAGGTAGAGATGTCATATTTTCGAATACGTTTTTTGTTGGATATATCCGTTTGTTTTTTAAAATTAAAGTATATAAACATGTACTCCCACATGGTCTAGTGGTTAGGATCCGGCGCTCTCACCGCCGTGGCCCGGGTTCGATTCCCGGTGTGGGAAATTTTGTACTTTTTCAATAGTGCACTCGCTTCACTTTTGAACTTTAGAAACAAAGCTGCAGATTGATGACAGACCATGTGTTTGAGTCCAGTTCAAGTAGCAACCCAAGCACACTATCTCAAATTCTCATCCTTTCTGGTATACAACTATTTCAGAAACAATTGCATATGCCAAGACTGAAGTTTAGATTATCATTTTGTAACGCTGTTCCAATTAAGTCTAATAGCAACCATGCATTTCATTATAAGGAAATGGAGTATGCATGTATTCAGTATACAATATTTTCTGATATAGCTGGATGATAAAATTACGCACTTCGCGTATTTGTTATGATTCATCGCTCCCACCGTACCGCCATGGAAATTCGGTAATATGGTTGTGCGGGGAATATATAGATATTAGAGAGGTTTAGCATGACGTTCATGGCAAACGGCAGAAAAGATCACGTGATCTGCTTTTTTTGGAGTTTAACGTTGCAGTTTCAACGCGAGAGCGGGTTAGTTTGAGGCTGCCATAATTGTGAAAAGCCGCTCYTTCAAATGACTACCAAAATCACAAGAAATTCTTAGGTCATTGGTTCAGCTCTGCTGTTAGCCGTTTGCTTAAAGTCT